TCCATGCTCCTCAGCGCCAAAGCAAAGCAACCACACAAAAACAGCGTTCATTCCACACAAACCTTGAGCAAGCTGAGTTCATCAGGGCCCCCCCTCCCAGCAATTTCCTTGCTGTACATCTTTAGGACTGACATTTCCTCGTTCCCACGAAAACGGGAAAGAGCGAGATGGTGTTTGTATATTGTTGCCACCAAAGCTTTCACAAGACACATACACACTGGGCTTTAATCGGAAGCAAGGGGTCAAGAACCCCAAAGAGAGGAAGAAAGGGGGGAAAGTATGTCGGGACTTACTGGTGGTATTGTACTTGACTCCATTGATAAACTCCGGGCACGGTCTCTCCACCAGCTCCCCGGCGCCGGTCTTCGGCCAGCAGGTCCCGATTTGGTCGGTGGTGGCATTGCAGTACGGACCTTCAACATATAGATATATACGGGGGGAAAAGAAAGAAAAGAAGGAAAGTAACTACATGATCCAGGCCAGCACGGCGAAGCCAAGCCAGGAATCTCCAGACGGCCATCCAGAGACGCCTCTAACCCTTCTCGCTCCCTACCATCAAATCCACTGTGGAGCACATCCAGGAGAGAGCAGTTCGCATCCAGGTCCTCAATAAAGTACTGAAGGATGATGGTCTCATTCATGGTTGGTCCAGGGATGCTGAACAAAGCCGGTCTACTCTCCCAGGTCTGTGTTCTGGTTTTCCTGCCCTCTTTTTCTTTGCCAATTAAAGTGAAGCTATCTCTCTACCGGCTCCTGTGACACCATCTCTCTCTCTCTCTCTCTCCCTCTCTTTCTCGCTCGGTGCTTCTGTATCTTGGAGGGTGGGCGGGCTGAGCACACAGCAAAATCCTCCCGGAGCCCTCGGTGCTTTAAACAGGAGCTCAGGAGCCAATAAGCATCCGCCCGGCTCCTAAGCAGAGGGCTTCCTAGCCATGCTTCCCCCCCCATCCCTTAGCTTAGCCCAGCCCTCTGTTGACATCTGGCTGCTTGTTGTCTATGCCTCCCCTCTAGGTCTCTGCAAGGGAAAGAAAGAGCAGGGAAGTCGGTGTGTGTGTGTGTGTGTGTGTGTGTGTGTGTGTGTGTCCTTCTGCCACCAACTGGCTTGTGTGATTATCCCTTAAAGCAATCAACATTCCATGCAAAAACCACATCGGCCCAAAGGATTCGAGGGAGAGCCGCAGGACGAAACTAGCCTTTCTGGTGGCTTCCCTGGTTGGAATGAACGCCTCCTGGCCAGAAAAAAGACCAGCTGGGACTTGGTCCATTTCCAAGCCAACAGCTCTCAATTGTTGCCCTGCCTGGGGAGCATCTCTGTAAGGGAGGGCCTCGCTGGATGGCCCTCTGCACATCTTCTGAGATGTTCTGGTTTTCAGGCACCTGGCCACTCCCAGAAGGAAACACGGTCCCCTACTGATTTAAGATATGAAGGGACGGCAGCTTTCAGAGGGCAGGCCATTTTTCTCACCCCTTGGTCCGTTGTTATACACCTGGAAGATGCCTTTGGGAGCCCTAGCTATCCAAAGGGAGGCTGCCGTCAGGAAACCAGAAGAAGACTGAGATTTGGAAGGACAGCCATGAAGGAACTGGGAAAGGTCATTAAATGTAAGGACCAAGATCACCCACCCTCTCGCATTCCCAACTAGGTATGGGTGCAAAAGCTGACGGGAAAAGAATGGATTCCTTTGAAATTTGGTGCTGGAGGAGAGCTTTACGGATAGCATGGACTGCCGGAAAGGTGAGCAAGTGGGTCCTAGATCAAATCGAGCCTGAACTATCCCTGGAGTCGAAAATGAGGAAACTGAGGCTGTCCTACTTTGGGCACATCCTGAGAAAGCAGGATTCTCTAAAAAACAACAACACTCTGGGAAAGGTGGAAGACAGCAGGAAAAGAGGAAGATCAAATACGAGTTGGACCTACTCCCAAAGGGAAGCCATAGGCTCGAGTCTACAAGATTTGAGCAGGGATGTTGAACATAGTGCATTTTGGATGTCACTCATTCATTGGGTTGCTATGAGTTGGGAGCCACTTGACAACAACAACAACAACTACTACTACTACTACAACATGCCATTTCACGGAGTGACTTGACACTTCCAGGATTTGGCATACCGGCTTTCCTCTCCAACAACAACAACAACAACAACATGCCATTTCATGGAGTGACTTGACACTTCTAGGATTTGGCACACCGGCTTTCCTCTGCCGAACCTTTTTCATGCATTCATTCTCACTGGAAACCAAGGAGCAAGTTAGTCGTCCAGCTCCCATTTATAAAGATCAAGACTCCTCATTACATGGTTTCTTAGTAAAACAGATGTGGACCGTTCCTCCCATTGGCCACTTACAGCCTGTGCCCTACACACTTCCCACTTCTGCCAAAATAGCCAACACATTGTTTTTGACCCCTTGGGACTGTTGTAGCCTTCCTCGTGTAAGGAATCAGAAGGAAACTGGGACATGTAGTCATACAAAGATGGAGTCTGTTAGGTTTCTGTATAGTTTGGATTTAAACTACTGAATGTCCTCCTGGCATCGTTATTCCATGTTTTAGGGAGAAGTGATTCTGACACTTCCCACCTGGCCTCCTTCTCAGAAAGAGACAGAAGACAGGCGAGCCTCCGTGGAGGCACAGAACAGATGGCTCCACTCTCTATTGGAGCCTTGCTTTGAGGAATCCTTCCATGGAGCCAGACAAGGTGGGCCAGATGCTCTGGATCGCAGGCCTCCTGTTTAATAAACCGAATGGGCAGAGGAAAAGAAGGAATCATAGAATAACCGAGTTAGAAGGGGCCTCTAAGGTCATCAAGCCCAACCCCCTGCTCAAGGCAGGAATCCAAATCAAAGCAGGTCTGAAAGACGGTGGTCCAGTTTTCTCTTGGATGCCTCCATCAGTTGAGCGCTCACCGTCTCCCCCTGAGGTCACTGGTTCCATTGACGTACTGCTCGAACAGTTGAGATTTTTTTCCTGATCTTAATCTGTCTTCCTGCAACTTGAGCCCATTGTTGCCTGTCCTGCACTCTGGGATGATCAAGAACAGATCCTGCCCCTCCTTTGAATGATAGCCTTTTAGGAATTTGAAAAATACTATCCTATCTCCCCTCCATCTTCTTGTCTCAAGGTTAAACATGACCCGTTCTTTCAGTCTTTCCTCGCAGGGCTTGGTTTCCAGTCCCCTTGATCCTCCTTGTTGCCATCCTCTAAATTTGCTCCAGTTTGTTGGCATCCTTCTTAACGTATGGTATCCTGAACTGGACACAGGACTCAAGATGAGGCCTAACCAGTGCTGAATAGAGGGGAACATAGTCATAGAACAGGTAATAATATACAGCGGTGCCTCGACTTATGACCATCCTAACTTATGACCATTTTGAGTTACGACCAGAAAAAAAGGCAGGGGAAAAGGCAGGGAATTCAAATTGCTAAAGGTTGCTGGTGAAGAGGCTGCTTCTTTGTAGCTCTTTCACCCCAAAGGTTAGAGAGGGGGAGTTCAGAGGTGGCTTCGGACTGCCTGGTAAGGTGCTGCTTTCTACTTTTTAAAAACTGGCTGTTCTGGGTGGGTTTTGCAGCATGGGTTTGGGCTGGGTGGGAGGGTTATGTTTCTATGCTGTGATGGGTCTTGCAGGGGTTTTTGGGTCCCCCCCCATTTCTGATGGGTCTTGCAAGGCTTTTTTGCTTTTTGGTGATTTTTTTTGCATTTCTGAAGGGACTAGCAGTCTTTGATTGCTTTTTACTGGTTTTTTTGTGTTTCTGATGGGTCTTGTAGTCTGTTTTTTAGTGATTTTTTGCATTTCTGATGGGTCTTGCAGTCTTTGTTTGCTTTTTAGTGATTTTTTTTTTGCATTTCTGATGGGTTTTGCAGGTAGCTTCCCAGGTAGGTGTCTCAAGATTGACTCAGCCTTTTACCGAGGTCGGTAAAATGAGTACCCAGATTGCTGGGGGGGGGCAATGTGTAGCCTGCATAATTAACTTGTAAACCGCCCAGAGAGTGCCTGAAGCGCTATGGGGCGGTATATAAGCAGCATGCTTTGCTTTGTTTGCTTTTCTTTTTTCTTTTTTCCTTCGGCCGGAACGGATTAATCGTGTTTCCGATGGATCTTGCAGTGTTTTTTGTGGGGGGTTTTTTGGTGATTTTTTCCTTTGGCCAGAATGGATTAATTGCGTTTCAATGCATTCCAATGGTAAATGGTGCTTTGACTTACGACCATTTTGAGTTGCGACCATCTTCCGGAATCAATTAAGTTTGTAAGTTGAGGCCCCACTGTATCTGTCGTTCTATAGTTAAGTTCGTAAGTCGAGGCCCCACTGTATCTGTCATTCTATAGTGGGGTGTTCCAAGCTTCTGTCAAAGACGTTCTGTTAGTCTTTGGTTCTCGCAGCTGAACCTCCGCCCTCAATAAAGCAGAGCCATCAGTTCCGAAGGAGCAGATCAGGAACGCTAGTGGAGCATCAACGCTGAACTGTGGGGCCAACATAGAGGCCCCCCCTTCTCCTCAAGAGTTCACCGGGTACTTGCCTGGTTGCTAGGGAACCGTGTCCTGCTCTCCCAATTACAAAGCATAAGCGTGCAAAGTCTTGTACCTTTTATCACGCAGAAATCCCACAATGTTACCCGCTACAGCTGCGTTCAGACTCCACTTGTATACTGTATGATCTCAATTAGCTAAATGGCCTGGATAATGAGAACGTTTTGGGCAGATGGGGTGCAGAGCTGGCAACGAGGGTTGCTTCAAGGCCAGTTTGACACGGGAGGTACCCTACTGAGGGGCAACAGGGGGTGTTAATTCTTAACTAATTAGGGCAGCCAAGAATTTTTCGCTCGGAAGGATCTCATGCTTCCACAATTAGCAGGGATGGGAACCCGGTTTAGGGGACTCACCATCTAGTTGGACCAAAATCATACTGGCAACTCAACTCCGACTTGACTTGGGTTTTTGTTTTTTTCAATGGCTGAGACTCAACTCATGGTTTGGAACCCTCCCACCCCTCCCTTTTTTTCTGGGGGGGCGGAACTTGTTTTTAACAGGGATTCAGACTTGGGACTTGGCACTAAAGTCTCAGACTCAGACCCAAACACTAGCCAACATCCTTGAAGATTAGGAGTTCATACTTCAGCACAACACTCAGAAAAGTTTTTTGTTTTTTGTTTTGATAGTTCTCAGGACCTTCTAGTCATCCTGCCCAACCCGCAAGGCATGTTTTAGCAGAATGTTGCTTCCAGGTCTTGTCCATTTTGAAAACTGCATTCAAAATACACCTAACTTAAAATACTATATGCACGAGCCTACGCAGATTTGGAATGCTATATCCATAGCATTGCTCTATCCCTTTTGTGGGGAGAAAGGGTGCACCTTTCCTAAAAGATGCACATAACCGTGCACATTCGGAAAAATATCCACAGATAATCACAGTGTTGCAATGCCTGTTTAAATAAACGATGACCCAAACATTTACCTTTTCTGACCACAGCCACACCAGTGACATCCACGGCCAGCAGCCATCCTGCCGAGGGTAGACTTCTCCCCAAAGTAACATTTACAATCTCTGGGGTAAAGGAATCGTGAAACAATAATATTGGACATTCTACTGAAGGATCTGAATGGAAATCACCAGCTGTGATGGATGCTAACTTAGAGTGAGATCACACAAAAGATCTAAATTTTTTGGTGAAGGTAGGATTGCTTCATATTGGTAGTGGAGTTCCAGCTGGCTGTGGATTTGGCTACAGGCAGGTCCTCAACCCGGCTTTTAAGATAAATCAAGGAAAAGAGAAATAAAATGCCCCTTGTTGTCCCCTCCTGCTTTTGGGCAGAAGTTTTTAATTTGCAAAAATACACAAAAAAACCCAAAAAAAACACCTACGAGTGATGTAGCGTATCTGTGATGCCCTAA